CTAGAGCAGCTTGCTCCAAGCCCCTGTGTCCAACCTGGCCTTGAACACTGCCAGGGATGGGGCAACCACAGCTTCTCTGGGCACCCTGTGCCAGCGCCTCAGCACCCTCACAGGGAAGAACTTCTTCCTTATCCACATCCTCGCAGAAGTGTTGCACAGTGGGATACAATGAGCTGCTAACACTGACTCCTGTGCCCTGCACTGCCTGGAAATGGCCTTGGGAGATTTCTGTTAGATTTTAAGAAACAAAATAGCTTGGATGCGGTTGCTGGCAGGCAGCTTTCCTGTGGAAAGACATCGTGCAGGTATAAACCAAGCCCATTTCATGCTTTGGTGTCAGCAGTGCATACTTTGCAAACGCACTTGAATCTCTGCACAGAATACAGCAGGATCTTGTACAGGGCAAAATTACCTTATCCAACCCTTATTTACCATATTAAAGGAAATAGATGAACTATCAAAATATTTATTGTTAATGAAATATTATTTCTATCACTTTCAACAGCACTCATAAATTTACAATTGAAAATGTACTCTCCTGAGAAGCCTTCAGCATGACAATAATGGTTTTCCTTTGATTTGGGGCCAGGTTTGAGACTATCTAAGCACTAGTCCATGGGATGAGATGCATCCACAGGTCCTGAGGGAGCTGGCAAATACAGTTTCCAACCCACTATCCATCCTATTGGAGAAGTCATGGCAGGCTGGTAAAGGTCACACTGATAGGAAAAGGGGAAACGTAACTCCCAGTTTTTATAGGGAAACAAGGAAGACACAGGGAACTAGAGGACAGTCAGCCTCACTTTGGTGCCCAGCAAGATCATGGAACAGATCCTCCTGGAAAATATTCTCAGGCACATGGAATATAAGAAGGTTACTGGTGGCAACCAGCACTCTTCTGAAATTGCTCAAGAGGAACTAATGCTCCAAACAATCAGCAGAGTCCAGTTACTATCCCTGCACAACCTGGGAGATGCTATCACTCCTGTCTGCTGAGCTGCACACTTGCTTTTCTCCCACTCACTTTCACTAAATAAATGTGACATTACTACAAAACAGGCCACCAACTTCACAACTGCATCTCTTCATACAGCTTAAGCAGTGATGGGGGGCAGGGGAGGCTGGAACTACCCTGTAGGTAGCTGGTATCTCATGTGGAATATTACAACCACTGATGATGTTACCATATTGGTTGACAAAACTCAAATGACAAACAGAAGTTCCTTTTCACTGCAGACTGCAGGGTACTATGCATAGTATCCTGCATAGAGGTACCTCTATGCAGAGTTGGTAACCCTCCCTCTGGGCCTCTAAAGGATTTCCAGTATTAGGGGCATCTACAGAAAGAGAAAGCATGGGGCACAAACTGCATAATGATATGTGTGCACAGGAGATTTGTGGACAGGGCATAGATAAGTTCTGCAGGTACTACAAACATCTCTGGTTTTGAGTGCTTGAGTACTGACAACAGCTGTACACTATTTTAAGGCACAGTGACAGAAGAAGAGCACAGGGCTGGTGGTGCTGCTGGTTAGACCAACCTGGACAAGCAAGCAGAGGAGTCACTGAGTTTTACACTGGCTTCATTTACTGGCACACAACTTGTGGCTTGTAACCAGGCTTGCTTCCCAAAGATGTTGGGGGGTCTGAGCCCTCTTATGTCTACTGCTACTGTGCAAACAGAGCTCAGATGGTAACATCAGCAGGTGCTGCTCTTGAAAGCAGAGAACCATATTTTAGACAACCTCAACACTAAGTGCAAAAGGCATAGTCCAGACAGTCAAACAAGTGGATTTGTCCCTCTACTCCTGCTGTCAAGTGGGGAATGCTACTGAAAACACTTCTTTGGTGTCTAATTATTGAAACAAATACTTCTGCTTCTAGTGGAATCGCAGAATAAGCAACTCCTAGACTGAGCTACGCAGTCAGACTGGCCCAATGGCATGCAGCAGCCAACCCCAACTCGGCATCTGGATGAAATAAACATCTTGCTGGGGAAACAGCTTTCTGTGCAGTACGCTCTGAGGTAAGCACATCACTGTACACAGAGGGGGAGATGTCCTAGTACCATCATCAGACCACAGCCTTAACAGATAATACCAGGAAAAGTGTTTAAATGACACCTGACCAACACACTCCATCCCTAGTAGCGTTCAAGGCCAGGCTGGGCAGAGCCTTCAGCAATGGTCTAGCGTCAGGCGTCCCTGCCCATGGCAGGGGCTTGGAACTGGATGACCTTAAGGTTCTTTCCAACCCAAATGATTCTGTGAACATACCTTGAACTTCAAAAATCAGTGGTCTCTCTTCTAAAGTATGAAGATGAAAGAAGTTTGCATTTAATGCTCTTACTGTTTAAAGTTTAGTTCTTGGACTTCATAAAGCATGTTGCTTCAAAGATAGCCACTAGCTAGCTGTTGTCTGGCTAGAATAGGAGTTTCTTCTGTCTTCTTTTATTCTGTCTCCAGACATCAACTCTTTTGTGGGGAATGGTTACTTACAATGTGATGGGACACTTCAAAGTCACATTTCCCATTAAACATCCTCTGGTTTAGTAGTTGTAGTGGCACTGAAGTGCCTGTGATAACTTTGTGACCAATTTTACAAACAGATACCCACAGGCTACCAGAATTGGCAAAACTTAAAAAAAAAAAAAAAAAAAACAACCAAAAAACTCCCCCCCAAAAGCAGGCAAGACCCTTCTGATTTTGTGTTAATGGCTTTAAAGCAATAATCTTAACATATACAACATCAGAAACTCAGAGAATGGTGATAGCTGCATTTTAGAATCCGGGTTTGAATCCGAATTGATTTTATGACTCTCTATCTGCATTTGAGACCAGTGAATCTTGTGTAGCACAAAACCAGAAACAGCTCTTTGCTGACATTGCAACATCTCTTTCCTATAGAAGGAAATCAGAAAAAAAAGGGCTTATGTCTAAACACAATAGGTTGAGGCTGCTTTTGGCAGTCCTAAATTGTGCCTGGATTTTGTTCTGCAAACCTTTTCCATTAACATTTCTGTGGGGAAAGCAAACTCTTTAGAGATGTAATGAGCCATCTGATTTTAATTTGGTTGCAGAACAAGGGGTTACTCTTTGCATCATGCGCAGCCAAGCTATTGAGCTACACCCAGCTCTATTTCCTTATACGGAAGATGACGACTGCTAAAGCATGAGCAGCATGTGGGAAAAGCAGCAACCCTTAGCCTTGTTTTAAGCAAATTAAAGTAGCTTTGGAACAGTAAAGATTTTCTCTGTGGGAGAGATTTGACTCTCCTTGTCATTGTTTTGCCCCCACTTCTTCCACACCAATTGTTGCACAGACAACAGCTAATGCTGCTTTTGGCCTTTCTCTTCTGTTGATGCTGTAGCATCTTCACCTTCTTCACTCACTACCTTCAACTGGTGTCTCCTGATTTCCTAAATGGTGGCCCAGTCCTGCACAAACACAGCTGTTTATTTTATTCCAGCTCATCTAAGACTACTCACACAAGATCCTATGTGAATCTGAGGGGTTCTGCATTTCCTAGATTGTGCTCTAGCAATGCTAAAGCCCTGGTTGAGCACTTTAGTGCTGCTTGGGATTCTAGGCTGAGAAAGCTAAACAGAAAGGGGGAACTTCAACAGTAATTGACCCACACCCAGAAAAAAACATTAAGACATGCTGGGAAATCACAGTGGAACTGCAGAGCCTGATTCCTGCTTTACAAAACCCTGTTTGTCCAGTCCCTGCACAGCTGCCTGCCTCCTGGCTGGACACAGTGTAATTCGGAGCCAGCTGAGACATGTCAGGCAAAACAAGGCAAAGAGACGGGAGGAGCCTTGCCCGGGAGTTTTTGACTGTTTATCCTGCCTCTGCTTATGAAGTCTTCGCAGAGGAAATACAATGTCTGCCCTTAACTGCAATTTCAGGTCCTTTCTGAATGCCTTTTATTCCCAAGATGCTTTCTGCTAATTTGTTAACAAGTGGCTGAATTAAGTAAAACACGATAATTACCTAGCAAGGTATTACTGCTGCATTAAATTGTTCTCAGTGATGTTTTAGACATTGTCTTGCACTTTTCCAACCCCAACAGAGGTGCGTAATCTCCAGCTTGAAGGAAGACTAGCACTGGATCTGCTGTGCAGTGACACTGGAGCTTCTTGCACATGGCACTCTGACAAAAGGAAGGTGTTTCCCTATATGTAATTCCCAGTACTATGGCCACAATGGTTTTAGCTACGCTGTTCCAACCCAGAAGTAGCCTGTTGCAAACAGTGCTCCTATGTAATACCCATATTTGTCCTAGTAGGCAGCTTGAACATGGCAAAAAAACAATCTGCCCTTGTGACATACAATGCTTGAGCTCTTCCGAGAAGAAGTCTGAGCCTTATCTATCGAAAATCATAATGTGGCGATGTGCTGCATCCCAAAAGGGCAGATGGGATAGATGGAGGCTGCTGGAAGCTGCTGAGCCTGCCAGAGGGGTGGGGCCTGTCCATAGCGGAGATAAGCACATGATAAGGGCAGGATTCACCAGGGCTGCCCCCTCCTTCCACAAGCACTGGCTTGGTGGTCCCCACCCTTGCCCCAGGGACACCTCTGCAGGCAAATGAAGTGAATGGAGGACTATTTCAGCCAAGGGACTGCTCCCACTCTCACTGCTCTGCAGGGTATTTACAGCCAAGAGGCCAGCCCTGGCCAAGAAGGTTGCTGCAAAAATCACTAGAGATTTTACTCTTGGGAGCATGCTGTCGCCATATGGTCTCCACACTCATAACACCAAACAAGTGCTTCATAAACAGTGTTCTAATAACAAGTACCAGAGGAATTAATAAGAATCTAGCTCTTATTTTCTAATGCTCTCGCTTTATTAAGAACATTTATGCTGTCTGAATGGGGTCTTCTGGACAATAACATCTGGCACCCATATGAATACCTGGTGAAATTTGTATGATCCTGGGTATCTTATAAATTGTTAGCATGGCTTCCAGTAACATTACATTTTTCTTCTGTTCTAGGTGCATAGCGTAATGTCCATGCTGTACTACACTCTGATCATAGCTTTTTTGATCGGCACACAGGCAGCTCCAAAGTCAGAGGACAATGTTCCACTGGAGTATCCTGCAGAACACTCCCTGCTTAATACCCACCGAAGTAACAGACACCAGATTCCCAAGGCAGCTCCACAGACATCCCAGGGCCACTCTACTTGGACGATAAGTAGAAGAGAAGCTATAAATATCACCATGGACCCCAAGGTTTTCAAGAAGAGGCGATTCCGGTCCCCTCGGGTGCTGTTCAGCACACAGCCCCCCCCAGTGTCAGGGAAAGGAAACAACATGGGATTTCTCAGCAGTGCAGGTGCTCTCAACAGGACTGCCAGGACCAAGAGGACTGCACATCCTGTGTTACACCGGGGAGAGTTCTCAGTATGCGACAGCGTCAGCATGTGGGTTGGGGACAAGACCACAGCCACTGACATTAAAGGCAAAGAGGTGATGGTGTTGGGAGAAGTCAATATTAACAACAACGTTTTTAAGCAGTACTTTTTTGAGACCAAGTGCAGGGACCCTAAGCCAGTGTCTAGTGGGTGCCGAGGGATCGATGCAAAGCACTGGAACTCTTACTGCACCACCACACACACCTTTGTCAAAGCGCTGACCATGGAGGGCAAACAGGCGGCCTGGAGGTTCATCCGCATTGATACCGCCTGCGTGTGTGTGCTCAGCAGGAAGTCAGGGAGGCCCTGAGGTGCATCTAACCCCCCTGAGAACATCCTCCTACCCCCCTACCTCAGCCTGTAAATTATTTTAAGTTATAAAGGACTGCATGGTATATTTATAGTTTATACAGTACAAAAAAGGAACCTCATTATTTATTAAACTCTTTCGGAAACTTTGTGTGTTTTGCTATTTATTTAGTGGCAGAAGCCCTCAAAAAGATGATCACTTTAGTCTCATTCAATCCTATGATTCTGAAATGTTCACAGGGGTTGTCCCCACTGAACAACCTTTCCTTGCCACCCTACTAAAATAGAGCATTTCCACAGTTTTCGCACACATTCCTCTCTTCCACAATAAAAGAACTTTTCTTCACAAAACCTGACAGTTTACTGTGAAAATCTGGTAGGTTTATTTTAAATGGAAACAGTTTTGTCCAACTACCAAGAGCCTGAAGAAGACCTTTCTGAACCTGCTTCCAGTTTTACTAATTATCCATTAAGATATGTGAACTCCTGCTGGAAATACGAGTTCCTCATGTTGCAAGACATGTTCTAAGTAAGACCTGTAGCGCATTTTTTAATATTCCCAAATCATTTTCACTGCAAAAAAAAAATCAGTTCTGAATTATTTGGGGATAGTTATCTGCACAAGAGTATCATGGTCTAGTGGGAGGCATCCCTGCCAGTGGCAGGGGTCAGAAATGGATCATCTTAAGGTCCTTTCCAACCCAAACCATTCTATGATTCTATAATCTAGATACATGTAGTTTTGCGTTTAAATACTATTTTACAGCTTATCACTTCTGAGCTCTGTTAAGAGTGATGGAGGTGCAAATGTCAGTATAAATGTATAAAAATAGTTCATGTAGCTTATAATTAACATTTTAAGTTCTCTCCAGCTAGTATTTTGGCAACAGGGACTTGACACAGAGTGAGTATTTTCATGCATGATAGAAGAAAAATAAAACAAAAACCACTAAAATGACTATTTAGAAGGAACCCCAAGTAACCCTGTGTTCATTATTTCTATGCTTTGGAGAACACTGGTCTAGAAGGACCCAGTGAAGCCTGAAGCCTGTGATGGGTGCTTCAGTCAGTACATACTGAGAAAAAGCTGTACTTTCTCTCCATGTTTCCTTTGGAAGAGCAGCTGTTATCAACTACAGAAACTGGTTCAAAACAAATACCATGCAGGTTTTTCTTCCTGGTTTCTTCTAAGTCCTAGAGGACACACTTTCACCCTTGCCTTCCCTTAAGCAATTCTTTCTTTAATGAAAAAAGCACAGCTGTCATTTGCTTCCTCCATGTAAACAGCAAAGGGAGAAAATCTCTACAGAAAATGTGTTTAGTGTCCGTGGAAATAACCAAACCTAGGCAAGATCTGCTCTCTGGTATGATGGTGCCAATCTGCATGAAGCGGAAGGCATCAAGACAGAGATTATTCTCAAGAATCACTAGCATGCCACTTTGCTGCCCTCTCTAATAGGTGGTTCTGGTGTGGGGCAGCAATATTCCAGCAAGAATGCTTTGCTCTCTCCAGAAGAACATATTTGCAATACTTGCGTGAGCAGTCAACTATCTGAAAGGTCAATGAGAAGGCAGGCTCCTGGCTGTCCTGTGTCCTCCAAATAACGACAACTTGTTCTGGAGTAGGGGGAGGCAACAGAGGCTAAGGAATACTCACAGTGCAATCATGTAGGCATCAGATGCTCTGATGCAGTAGAGCACAACAGCACACAAACACAACAGCAGCAACAGCCAGCTGCCAGACATCACAGGAAAGATGGAGAGAGATCAGTGGAACACACAGTATTCCAAAGCAAAGGAAAACAGATTTGAGCAGAATCCTGTCTGTGCTCTATGTTGGCCTTAAAGCAATGGACAGAAGTAACAAATCTGCTTTAGAAGTGCTCTTTACCATATGTGACACAATGCAGCTAGGGAAAATGAAGCTGCTGCTCATCCAGGACTACCAGATTTATTGAGACTGACATTATTGCTTCATCCTTCATGACACTGATCTAGTGAAAAGGACAGTTCAAGACATTGACACTTGACCTTGACCCCACTGTTAACTACAGATTCTGGAATTCCAGACTTAAGAGGTACAAATCCAAGCCGGTAACTTCAGTTTTACGGGTGTACATCATTTCTCTCCCTGCACATCTGTTGTTATGCTGGCGTGACATGCAGATGTGACCAATGATGTGCTGAAAAGTACTGAAGTATTTCAAGAAAATAATGTAATGATAACATGAGGGTTTATGATTAGAGGGCAAGAAAAACCTGGAAAAGCTCATTCTTAGAAAGAGAATTATTGCCATGTTTAAAGTTTTGTATTAACTGCATGTTTAGATGGAAAGATAAAGCTCCATCTCTGACCACAGCTACACAAACCCAGCCTGTGGGATTCCCCCTGCAGCACTCAAACTTTATCCACTTACAGATGTTTGCAACCATGTTTAAAGACTTGGATTTAAAACAACAGTAGTCTAAGCCATTCTTGTAGCAACTGGCATTATATTTTCCTGCTACCTCCAACAACAGAAATACTCTTGATAAAGCCCAAGTGAGGAGTTTCATGCAATCTGAAGAGGTTAGTATCACACCATGATATACCATACCTGAACAGCCAGAAATGAACTACAGGACTCACTGAATCTCTTAGATGCTGCTGCTCTACAGCAGAACAGGCTAGGTTAACCAAATCAGAATAAACCCTGGGAAAAGCAACTGCTGACCCTCTGGAGCTTTCCAAACCACCATGAAGCCATTGACAAGACACCTTTCATAAAGACCTTCTGATTATCTCAGTAAAAAGCATCTCTTAGCATTCTACAGAGACAAGTGAACTGACATGGAAAATTCCTCTACATATAGTGAGAGCCAGTGCCTCCCATATTATACCAGCAACTTGGCCTCAGAATGCAATGCCTCCAGGAGGTGAATTAGTGTATGCATTTGTGACTGATTATCCTGACTGCGCTCTGCTTCCTTGGGCAACAACTGGTATCTTAAAAACGAAGGGCGACATCAAGATTTAATTAGAAAACTAATTCAGTGCCAAGCTTTGTTCGGTTTTTTTTCCCCCCAGAGATAAAATCCAGCTAAAGATGCCTGAGATACCATCTCAGTTGCAGTGATTTGGCCTTTTACATCATTAGGCTACAGCAGATTTCTGTTTACAATGATTCCATGTACAACAGGCTGGGAAAATTGGGGCTGTTCAGCCTGGAGAAGAGAAGCTGCATGGGGATATCAGAGCAGCTTCTAGTGTCTGAAGGGGACTACAAAGATGCTGGAGAGGGACTCTTCATCAGGGACTGTAGTGACAGAACAAGAGGTGATGGGTTCATACTGAAACAGGGGAAGTTCAGGTTAGATATAACGAAGAAGCTCTTCCCCGTGAGGGTGCTGAGGCGCTGGCACAGGGTGCCCAGAGAAGTTGTGGCTGCCCCATCCCTGGCAGTGCTCAAGGCCAGGTTGGACAGAGGGGCTTGGAGCAAGCTGCTCCAGTGGAAGGGGTCCCTGCCTGTGGCAGGGGATTAGAACTGGATGAGCTTTAAGGTCCCTTCCAACCCAAACCAGTCTGGGATTCCTGCCAGAGTACAGAAAAGGGAACAAACCCACCAGTCTGCAGTTTGCTCTTCTGGAAGGCAAACCCCTGAGGAATTATCAGCCCAATATGAGAGTGTGAGAAGACAAATTCAAATTTATGTATTCTAAGCTGACAAAAATATTTTCAGTGTTGAAGTAAGTAATTTTCCAAATACTTACTCTGAATTAATTCAGTGGTGGTGGTTGGGAAGCTGTGACAGCCATTAGCAACTGTCAGCATAGCTGTTGTGTTGAATCTGCAGTTTGTAAATATTTTCAGGAACTGTCCTTTACTATGGTTAGCTTTTCTCTTTGATTTTTTTCCCCTCCAGTCAAGCACATGGTGATCTACCATTTCACTGTCTGCCACTGACACTGTGATTGATGCAAAGAATCCTGTAGTGCTGCAAAAGTCATGTACAAAGCGGCCTGAGTGTTGTGTTTAAATGCCTTCCTCTTTTAGTATTTTTGCTACATATTCCTGGGTAATGTCTGTCATGTCAGTGGATGTTACTGATTGAGAAACTCTCAACAGTGCCCTCTCCCAGTGGCTTACAGTTACTGAGGAGAGGGCAGCATGTTACAGGCTCCTCTGCTGGAGAAAGCAGACTGATGGCAATTGCAGCAAGTCACAGAATGATGGAAGCAACCAGGTTGGAAAAGACCTTTAAGCTCATGAAGCCCAACCGTTCCCCAGCACTGCCAAGGCCACCACTAACCTATGTCACTGAGGGCCTCATCTACATGGTGTGTGAACACTTCCAGGGATGGTGATTCCACCACTGCCCTGGGAAGGTTATAGCGAAAAGGTGGAAATCTATTTCCTCACATAAGTTTACGGGAAGAGGAAAACAATTACAGGATTACTGCCCATCAGGAACTTCCTGGATTCCGAATGAGGTCTTCTGTGACCAAACCTGTACCACAATGGCAAGAGAAGGGTTGAGAGGCTAAAGACCCAGGGGACATCACAGCACAACTTACACTGCTGAAACACTGTTAAATACACTAAAACCAGCTTGCTTTGCTGTTTGTTCCACTGTATCCAATGAATGACAAGAGCATCCATATTTGGATAAGTTACTTTCATTTGTACTAGCTGTAGTTTGAACATAAATGTTGATTCAAAACTGCAGTTCAGCATGGAGAGTGGTACACACATGTTCACTTCTTTCAAAAGAAGTGCTGCAGACTCTTTGCTAGATTCTCTTCTCACTGTTTAAGAAGTTTACAAAGTTTATATATTGATATGAGCTTGAAAACAAACTGCTTCCCTAAAAATTAAAAGCCTTCATTCCTTCTTAGAGCCTCACCTGTTGTAAACATCAGGATTGAAAATAAATATGGCTAAGGAAAGCTACTTCATAGCAAATAAGACGAACTAAATAGACTGCTATGAAACACACTTATTGGAAGAACTGCATAGTCACTACTACAAGAATCTGAAATTCATCCCTTTAGATTCTGAGGAAGGAAAAGGAAGATCCTTATATTTAAAAGCAAATCAAAACAGACTTGGTTTCACCTTTAATCAAACACCACATGCAGAACGCCAACAATTTCACTGCTGCTTATTTGG